ATCAAGGCCTAGGATAGCATAAGTTTCTCAATGAGTTGCCATGAATAGCATGTGGCTGGTCGTTTTACTGACCTGCAGACAAAGTCAATCACATTACACAATCCTAGCAGAGTGAACCATTCATTCCCTTTTACACATATTACACTTACGCTTTCAAACCTTTCAACCAGACATTCTCTTTTCGACTTAGTCATTTAAGGACATTTTTTGACCAAACTCAGACCCTTTAGACAATGACTCGAAAATCAAAAATGTCATTTGGTGCAAAGGTTGATGCAAAGTGTGGGTGTAGAGGGTGAGTGAGTGTTGAGTTGGCGAACCACCCTGTTACCATACGGCAACAGCATGTAGTTTGGTATAGACTCATAATGAGTCTTCTTCATCAAGATGATCTTCAATCACACACAGGTCTACACTGTCTCTGCACCTCTTTACCGCCGACATGACCCTATCTGAAGTTCAATATAGGGAACTTCATTTAAGTTGGGAATAATACTACATTGACATAACTCCCTCTAGGAAGTCTCTCTAACCTCTTATCAAATCCGCCTCTAGAGATAGTCGTATAAAGGAAGAGAAGTATAACTTGAAAGTTAACATCACTAATATTTTATGCCTTATCATATGATCCTCACTTAAGACATGCACAGGCAAAACATCATCAACTCATCTGGAATAGAATCATAAGATAGGTATGAATCAAGAGGTTAAGATAGCAGGACATGTCACACGAAACACATTCCTTCTACCTCCACCTCAGTAGATTCAGGAAGCGGTATGTCAGTAATGGATCGATTTCTTTTCAGCGCTTTCACGTTTTCTTGTCTATCGAGAAGATTAGTAACAATATGGTAGACCACTCGAGATCTACTCATCTTCACTGGGCGTCTGGTTGTGATAGAGTAGAATTCAAGGATCTTGCTCGCCTATTTACTGTCTTGCATTAGATCAAGGTCAGATGGTAATAAGGCGGGCTTCTCGCTCCTCTTACTACCACTTCCTTCATCCATGCGGCTGGGCAATAGGGCAAGCATCTCGGTGCCCTGCTCCTCCTACCGTCGCTTACATTGAAGCACCGCTAGCGGGTAATAAGGCAGGCTTCTCGGTGCCTTGTTACTCTTATCACACCGTTCGTGCCATTATTGCGATAAGGCAGACTTCTCAGAGCCTTGCTACCAGAGTTACCAACCAAGATTTTTAGAAATACCTGTAACTAAACTAACCATACACGTTTCGAAAACCAACCAACCATAACCACTGTATACCTGGCCTACCGCACCTTTACCTACCTCCAACTGATCCGAAGAAAAAAAAAATGTGTACATGTACCTGCCCCTACCTGAACCTCTGCAGACAGTAACTGCCCATACCCGCCCTTGGATTTTTTTTTTTTCCAAACCAACCATGGCTAACTAAACCCAATCCGTGTGTGTTACCCACCCGTACCATACCCAACCCTAGTTTTCCTTACCCGTGTCCACCCGTAACCGCCCCCACCTACCCACACAATTGTATGCGCCTACCTGTAACCGCCCGCACCTGCTACCCACCCTCCCCTAACTGCCCCTAACTGCCCCTGACTGCCCCCAACTGCCCCTAACTGCCCCTAATTGCCCCTAATTGCCCGTAACTATTCTAATTGTTCCTAAACCCCCCCAACCGACTCTAACTGCCCTCACAACCTTTGGCTTGTGGACGGGGTCTAGCAGTAACAGACGACCAGTTGCTGCAGTTGTTATTGCAACTGCAGCGGTAGTCAGATGTGGCGCATCTGCTGCTGCAGCAGCTTATGCAACCCATGCAGCAGTGCAACAGCTGCAGAAATAATGTCAATGTAACAACTGTCGTACGCACACACACACACACACACATGAAGTTGATAAACACATGGTGTGATACACAGTATTACACACACTCACACACACACTTTCACACATACAAAGATATAGTCTGGAAAAAAAAAAAAAAAAAAAAATCATGAAATTCACCTGCAGCGGTAGTCACATGTAGACCATGATGTGGTGCATCTGCTGCTGTATATCAAACACCTACAACAACTTCAGAATTGGTGTGAGTGCAACAACTGTCCTACCCACACACACACACACACATGAAGTTGATAAACACAGTGCGCTACACACACTCGGACACACACACTTTCACACATACAAGGATATAGTATGAAATTTTGCAAAAAAAAAAAAAAAAAAAAAAAAATCACCTTCAGCGGAAGTCTCATGTGGTGCATATGCTGCTGCAGCAGCGTATGCAACCCATGCAGCAGCTGCAGAATTGGTGTGAATGCAACAACTGTCGTACGCACACACACATGGGTGAAGTTGACAAACACACAGTGTGATACACAAACCCACACCCACACACTTTCACACATGTGAGGATATAGTCTGAAAATTTGAAAAAAAAAAAAAACAGATATGAAATTCACTTGCAGCGGAAGTCTCATGTGGTGCATCTGCTGCAGCAGCAGAATATGCAACCCCTGCAGCAGTTGGAGAAATGGTGTGATTGCAACACCTGTCGTACGCACACACGCATGCATGAAGTTGGTATACACATTGTGATACACACACTCACACATACACACACTTTCACACATGTGAGGATATAGTCCAAAAATTTAAAGGAAAAGGAAAAGGAAAACATATATGAAATTCACCCTTGCATTGGAAGAACCATGGGGAACGAAAAAAAACAGTCTGCTTTCGAAAATGTAGAAATCAGAAAATTGAGAAAAACGTTGTGCTTCAACAAAAACACGAAGCCTGCAAAGGTATAACACTCACATCATCTGGCCGGGAGCCAGCAACCTGTGAAGCTGCAACACTTACATCACGTGCCTGAAAGCCAACAACCTGCAAATTTACAACACCCACATCATGTGACCACATCGCAATTAGTGCGAAGAAAAAAGACGTCATCCACCACGGACGGACTAAGCTGGTTTTTTTTCTTCGTGACAGTGTTTCCCGCGTCCGAGAAATTGCACTCGCTCTTGGAACTGGATGCAGGAACACAGGACTGCATGAGCAGCACGGACCATGATCGGTAGTGGTGGGAGCAACAATTGGTCCTCTGCGTTCTTTGCGACGGTCCCTTTCGCCTTCCACCACACAAGGATGTCAAACTTTTTCTTCTCTTCTTTTGTCAGTTTCAAGCCGAAGTAGAACTCCAGCTCCTTTCTTATGCGTTGTGCGAGTGTCAATGGCCTCATACGAGCGATGGGCAAGTCCTCCTCCTCATCCTCGTCTGTACTACACAACGTTAGCTCGTCGGGGACCTCTCTCGCGGACATTTTCTTCCTGCGCTTCAGTGGCCGCCTCCCTTCTGCTGCTGCGGGTTCTTCGCTTGCCTCTGCACTTGTGTCTTTCACACTGTGCATAATCTCTTGCAAACAACTTTTTCCTCGCTCAACCTAAGTTTTCAACAACCCGAAATGATCCAACATGTCCTTCTGTCGAGGGTCCAGCAAAGTTGCAGCAATGTGGAGATCATCTAAGATCTATTTCTCCTGCAGCACATCCTTGGTCAACATCTTCACGGCTATGATGTCGTCTGAGTCTGACGGGATGGTGAACTTCTTACCATCAACGTCCTCGCCGTTGTATGGCTCATTACGCGGTTTGCAGTACTCCAAGAGAGCACTGCGCTCGAATGCGACAAGGTGCAATGTCGGTTCCAAATATTTCTCCAACGCAAGGGTGACAGTCTGGAACCGTTTCAAGAACCGTGCCAGCTGTGCAAGCGAGTTCTTGTCAATTCGTCTGATGAGAAACTATTTGTTCGCCTGCCGATTTGTGTTGGCAAGTCTTGCGAGGACAGTTGTCACATCATCATAACTATCCAGAATGTTATTCAGGGAAATCAGGAATGAATTCCACCGTGTTGCATTCTCCTACTTCAGTGTTTTGCTCAAACAGTTTTACAGCTTGGCTTGTTTGAAATACCGCACCAACTCCTTGGAGTTGTCGATCATTTCAAACAGGTGTGGTGCATATTTATGATGCTTATAAAACGGCGCGGAGCGAACTCCATTTGTTGTGGTTGTCGTTTTGTTGAACACTGTTGTCAAGACGGTCGCGATTTTATGGTCTGAGCACGTCATTCACTTGTAAACTTTTCGGATCCCTTCTGCTGCAACCATGTTCGACCCACTATCTGTGCACACCACACATTTATCAGCATTTGTGCAACCGAATTCTTGAAGGCACTCTTGGAATGCCTTGAGAACGGCTGGTCCGGTGTGTGAATCCTCGCGAAACGCTCCTACCTGCAAATTGCGCGCATGCAATTTAAACGTGACGTCGATGTAATGCATGGTGATGGAAATAAATGAGTTTTTGTTAACCTCGTCTGTCCACATGTCCGTTGTAAAACCTGCATGCGCACCGTTATTGAAATGGTCCTTCACCATTTCTTTCACCTTCTCACGAACGGACGAGGGTGTCCCAACAACATGACGTTTGAAAGTGTTGGGGACCGGCATGACCTTTCCCATGTGCATGGCCTTGCCCACAGCTACGCCCATGTCGTACGCTTTCTGTATAACTTCTAAAAAGCCCTGGTTGCCTACCACGTTGAAGGGGCGCAAGTCTTCGCAGCACCACATGACGGCCTTCTTGGCCATCCTGTTTTTTTGAGCCGTTGAGGGCTCGACAGAAGTGACAAAGAGGCGCATGAGGCCTTCTCCTTCTGGCTCCTTGCGACAGTTGTGTTTTCGCAAAGTACTTGTCCCATGTGCAGAGTTGAACGCGTAGACTCTACAACAGCATTTGCATGTCACATATCCGTTGTTGTGCTCCTGTACATGGGCGTCATCAGCGGAATGGACATTGGCAAATGATTTCCAGATCCCGGAAGTGTTTTCGTTCTCATCTAGTAAGATGAAAGGAGGGCTGGTTCCCCCTTTTTTAAGCGATGTCTGAACGACCACTATAAAATGTTTCATATCAGTGGTCGTCGCAGAAGAGCCTGCAGTCCCGGTGCTTTTGTTCTGCTCCACCGCCGCCGTTTTCTGTTTGGGGTCAGACTTATCTGAATCGTCTGATGACCCAAACCCCTCTTCCCGAGCAGGATCCATCAACAAGTGGGTGGTTGTGGCTCTATGATGTGAATCACATCACCGTACCCCTCGCAAAGCTGAACGCTGAGCTGTTATAACAGGCCCAATTCCAATGGCACACCGCCGAGCTGTTATAATGCAGGCTCAAGTTCGAATCGAGATACTCAAAAAAAAAAAAAAAAAAAAAAAAAAGGAAATAATAGCAGCGTGGAACAAAAGACAGCGACAAAATCCACAAAGATTTGTCGCACCGAATCACTGATAAACCGATAACTTATTAATTAATGAAAACGAATGTCTGGACCGAATCCAGAGCATCCCCGCCACCCTTGGCTTGATCCATTCTCACTAAGTATGCAACTTCAACACGTTCATTGTAACCTGCACAATCAAAACAGCACATGCCATGCACATAGACAGTTGTTCTCAGCCCGTGCACTCTCAACCCCTCTCCTTCACTCTTTCCCCTCAATCCCCTGTGCTTAAGAACTGAACGCAAATTGCCCATGATGCAGCTCTGTATCGCTTCATTCACTTTCAGACACTTTCAGACGGTTGACTGCCACGTCCAACTAACTTTCAGACAATCACCGTAGCATCGTGTCTCGGACCGCAATCACAACATAAGGAAACACTTTCAGACAATCACTGTAGCATCTTGTCTCAACCCCTTGAATTGGAGAAGAGGACAACAGAAGAGGACCCTTCTGAGCAGAATCAGAAAAGAAAAAAAACACGGTTTGGAAAAAAAAAGAAAAAAAAAAAGAGGAGGAGAGCGGGGCTTGTAACGTCTACAACGACGGGATTCGACATTCTGGCGAGATGGAGGAGGAGGAGAAGGAGGAGGTCCCGGTGGAGGAGGAGGTCCCGATGGAGGAGGAGGAGGAGGTCCTGGCGATGGAAGAGGAGGAGGAGGAGGAGGAGGAGCAGGTCTTGATGGAGCAGGAGGAGGTCCCGACGATGGACGAGAAGGAGGAGGAGGAGGAGGAGGAGGTCCCGATGAGGAGGAGGAGGAGGAGGAGGTCCCGACAATGGAGGACGAGGAGGAGGAGGTCCCGATGGAGGAGGAGGTGGTTGTGGAGGAGGAGGTCCCGATAAAGGAGGAGGATTATCCTAGGGAGGGAGATTCCTCTGAGTTAGACAGAGCAAAGGCAGAGCTCGCCGTGTACAAAACAAATTCGAAAACATGGGATTTGTGTCGGGTCCTGTTACTTATTTAGAGCAAATCGTGCCTAAACGATCCAATCCCAGCGCAATCACAGGGGTACCTGTTCCTGTGATGACTACTCCCCCGCCTCTGATCGAAAGTCTTGCACGACCGAGCGAATCGACCACGTTACTAGAACTGATTAAAACATTAGTTACTTTGATACAGGAAAGCAAAAAGGAGCAGCACGAGCATAACGCTAGGATGGAGTCGATAATGAGATTGATGCGTCCCATTGCCGTAAGAGCTGCGCCGATACAGCCCGGATTGGCCCCGATCCCGGCGACAGGCGGGGCAGCAGGCAACCCGAATATCTGCTACACGTATCACCAGCCAGGACACATAGCCCGAGATTGTCCTCACCGGCCCGCGCAAGCCCGAATCGGGGGCGCATCGGTGGTTGTGGCACCAATCGCTAATGGGTCAGGTAGAGTAGGAACGATGTTGGAAGAAATAAGGAGGCGGGAGTGCGCTAGCCACGACTGACGAAGCGGCAGAACTTATCCCTCTGGACTAGTACGTGGCATTAGGATATCCGGGGTTAGGAATGATTGGGACTCTTAGACCCGCAAACGAACAGCGAGAGGTGGCGGAATGGAGACCCTCTCCAGGAGAGATGGAGTCTGGAGGACCCACCTTCGTCACTGGGGAAATATACGTCCTAAATATCGTCCGCGCCCGAGACCATCGCATTCCCCTCCCAATTGGACATTTGTTATCCATCTCGGAACAGGCTAACGAGCGCATGTTGCAACACTGCAAGGCAGACAGAAAACGATTCGCCCTTGCTAGAACAACGAACACGAAAGGAAAAACCCCTATCCATGAGGACAACCCGAGCCCCACCAGCACTCGGATCCCATACGTCTGGGATTAATACAAAAAGATGATCACTTTCTGCGGATCAGAGCGATTCCGTGAAAATCCGCCGAATGTGACATCGAGGTTTGGGGAGTCACGTACAACTTGAACGCCATTATCGACTCAGGAGCCGCCGTCTTGGTTATTTCACTAAGAGTAGTAGAAAGAGCGGGGAGAGGAAAAATTTTGATCATGCTAACGGAAAAGGATCATCTCGTCTCCGCGGATGAAGAGAAAATCAAGACAGTAGGACGAATGACCAACGTTGCTTTTCGATTGGGAAGGGTACATGCTCTGGGGATGTCGTGGGGTTGGATGTGAGCACGTGCGACGTTCTCTTGGGACTGTCCGCTCTCATGGCCCTACGGGTCAACCTAGATTTTGAAAGACGATCGATAGTCCTCCGAAATACGGGAGGAAAACCATACGTCATCCCTATGAGATTGACTCTCAAAACTATGGCAGAAGTCACCAAAAAAACTTCCCTGACGCCCGGAGGGGTTCTCCGAATGATCACCTGGAAGGAACTTGCGGAACGCAGCGCTCGCCGGCCAGAGGAGCCAGAACTCTCGAGCAGCACTGATGATAGCGATGAAGATGATTTAGTGATTCGGGATTTAGTGCAGCAACGCATCCACTATCCGACCCAACAAGCAACCACGAAAATGTTCAATCTCACGGAAAGGAACATCCAGAGAACACGTGCATTAATTTTAGGCGAACCACTTGACAATGTGCAGATTTCCCGGATGACCGATTCTTTGGAACCCCATCGGACCTTATACGAGGGCACCACTCCACTTCTTGCGAGATACAGGGATAAGCAAGTTTTTTGCGATATTACGGAGCTTCCTTGTTCCCTGTTATAAGACTGCCGAGATTAGGGGCCGAGGCCGAGGCTTTGGAACCCCTTGCGCGTCGCGACACCGGACCTCACAATCTCGGGATCAAGATCGCAGAAAGACCCGTACGATGGCAGGATGTCCGCGACGGTGTAACCCCGGAGGAACACGTGGCGATCCGAGAAGAAGATGCCCAAATGATGGCCACGGTGTTTTCTTGGCGATCGGACAATTCATTGATCTCCTCGCCCCCACCCAAAAACACTGGCGGAATCAACACGAAACAGATTACAATTCAAATACTAGGCCAATCCTATGAATTGCATGTGCCATATTACGTACCCGACAAGGTTCACCATCTAATTGCAAAAATTCTAAAGGAATATCAGGGAGCGATCAGTGTGACAGACACGGACATCAGACTATCACTAGTCATTCAACATGAGATTCAGACCGGAAACCATCCTCCGATCCACTGCAAACCGTACAGGTATTCCCTCGTGGAACGAAAGACGGTCCTGCAAAGGATTAGGGAATTTGAAGCTAACAGATGGATTGAACCAGCCACTGGACCCTGGTCATTCCCCGTAGTCCTAGTGCCAATGAAAAACGGGTCGGTTCGCATTTGCATCGATTATCGCAAACTGAATGATATCATGATCAAGGATGTGTATCCCCTTCCCCGGATTGACGACTTGCTGGATGCGATTGGGTGTGCTAATTATTTTAGCAAGTTTAATATTCGTCACGGATTCCATCAGATCCTGGTTAAGGAGGAGGATCAGCCCAAGATGGCCTTCGTCCTGTTCGAATGCACCTGGCAGTGGGTTCGATGCCCAATGGGAATCTGCAACGCGCCGGCTACTTTTCAAAGAGCGATGAACGTAACATTTCAAAATTTCGTCAACAAGACCCGACTGACTCAAAGGATGATCAATTTCTGCGTCATTGTGTATATGGACGATAGTTTGGTCTACTTAGAGTCGTTCCATTGGCACGCACAACATATCGAGTGGACACTAGAAGCCTTACGAGACGTCGGATTCAAGATTGCGCTGGAAAAGAGTTCTTTCTTTCTTTCTGAGATCATCTCATTTCTGGGCTACGTGGTAACTCGGGGAGGCTTAAGGCCCGATTCGAGAAAAGTAGCGGTCGTTCGAGACGCCGCGACTCCCACGTCGCTGACGCAAGTTCGAGCTTTCCTGGGGCTGGCTTCGTACTATCGACGATTTATCAACTTGAAGGGTTTCGCCGCTATCGCACAACCCCTAACGAACTTGTTGTGAAATGACTAACCCCTTAGTTGGAACGCGGAGTGGGAACGGACCTTCAACACTCTAAAGGAGGCCCTAGCTACGGCGCCTATTTTGATTCGACCGGACCCGGCAAAGCAATTCATACTCATCACACATTAACAGAGCCTGAGGCAATCTCCGCTATCCTAGCGCAGAAGGGGAACGACGGCCACGAACACGTCATCGAGTACGCATCCCGTACTGTACCGGACGAAAGGAAGAACGATTCGACTCCTCAAGGAGAATGCTACGTAGTGATTTGGGGAATTCAGCACTTCCATCCGTATCTGTACGGGCATAAGTTTCTCCTCGTCACAGACCACGAGCCCTTGTTGGCTCTCAAAAGGCTCACTAATTACACGGGCATGATTGGACGCTGGGCAGTACGGCTGCAAGAGTACGATTTCGACATCGTCCATCGGAAGACAGAGAGGCACGGGAACGCGGACGGATTGACACGACTGCACCACCCAGCAAAGGTGGCAAAAGGCGAGGAGATTACTCAGTGGAGAGAACCGGAGCCAGTCAGCGGGCCACGGTACAGATAGGTGACAGTCCTTCCTTGCAACAAGAAATAGCACGTAGCGATGGGTGACGGAGGTAACTTTGGGGCTCGTTTTTCTCCTCTCTCATCTTCGTCTTTTTCCTCCCTTCCTAACAACTTTTGCTATTTTTGTGAGGCAATTTCGAGAGTCTACTCGGTCCCTATGCCACCGAGCGAGGAAAGCTATGTCGAATGCGTAGATTGTCGGCGATGTGTTTCCCGAGCCCATGGTTCTTGTATCCAGTACCGGAATACGGACAAACCTTGGTTATGTCCTTTGTGTCGCACTGACAAAATCCCAACGGAGGCTCGATTTCTCGAAGCCACGTCTGAAGGGCTAGAAAAGACCCGACGGTTTAGAAGGGCTGAAGTATGGACAGATGTTGTGTTGATAGCTACAATGGTCAGAAACCCTATCCGAGACTTCACAAAGGAGGACCGGAGACGGGCCAATAAGAGGACCAATATTCGCGACGGAGACGGGTCTTGAAGTCAGCCCACGAGGAAACTGCGGCCCATTTCGCCGTCTCGATCACAGAGGCGGCGATTGATAAAAATGAGTGGTATCGGTCCAATATTCGCGACGATGTTAAGTTCATTGTCCGAAATTGCCTTGTATGCGTTGCTGACAAGGCGTCGATCCAGCCGCCTACGTCGATAGTGTGTACCGTAGTTGAACGACCATTCCAGAGGGTTAGTATGGATACCACCGATATTGTCGTGCCCCCTGACCCTAATAGCTGCGAATATTCAATTCTACTGGTATTCGTAGACCATTTCTTGAAGTGGATCGAGGCCTATCCATTCAAGACGCGACAAGCGGCCGAAATCACGCAATACTTCAACCGTTTTCTTGGGATGCACCAGGACACCGAGGAGATTCTGACGGACAATGGGGAAGAATTTAGAGGGGAAGTCTTGAGGAATCTAGTCCTACACGGTGTCTTTATTCGCAAGACTGCCCCTCACATGTCGCAGTCGAACGGACTGGTGGAAAACGCCAATCGAGTGATTAAGACCGCTTTGCGACACAATATCGCGGAAAATGACACGAGGGCCTTGGCTCGATATCATGGACCATATCCTGGCTATCCACCGGGGGACACCCCACGAATCCACGGGTCTGACCCCCTTTCAGCTACGGACCAATAGCCTACCCTGTGTAGCCCTACCGAGCCTAAATGATGAGATAGCCCTTCCGCGACGGACCATTAGGGCGACGGTAAAGGATAAGGCCCAGCGCCACCTATAACTGATGGAAAAGGTCCTCCCCAGATTGGCCCGAAAAAGACAGCGAATGACTGAAATGGCCCATAGGAGACAGGTCACGAGTTACGAGGCCCGGAATGGGAACACTGGGCCTCGGCCCCAGTATAAATTAGGGGACATCGTGCAGGTGAGGAAATATGCTCACCAAGGCAAGCTAGCGTCACGATTCTTTGGGCGATTTCGCGTGGTTGAGCTCGGTCCCAATGGGGTGAACACGGTACGGCTTGCGTCGGAAGTGTCGGGAAATCGATCGGCTCACCCGATCATTCGACACGTGTCCTACCTTC